GGATCCATGTGAGTTTTTGTCATCAGCACACCCTCAGAATGTGTTTCTCGTTATATATTGCATGAAGGCACCTGGAAATTCTGCCAGATGAATCCACAGCTTGTGTGCTGTGAGTGTTCCTGTTTGCCTTGTTGGTGGGTTGGGCACCTTGCAGTTGTAAAGGAAGGTACAGTCTTGAGTGGTTTCCTTTCCAATGGACAATATACAAATAAGGTTGTAAAGAATGGATGAACTACAAAAGCAGTGTGGATGTACTAGCACAAGCCGTGGCTGTCAACGCAAGAGCTGGTGGAGAATAAGCTGCAAAAGGGCTTATAGCAGGAATTTGGTCATGATGGTTGCTAAAGCCTTGACAAAATCTAGCCCAGCGTGTTCCTCCTCTCTCTGTTTTCACTAGTGGTCTGCCAGGCTGCTGCTGGGTGGTCCTGGGGGTTTTGATACTGGAACTTGAACTGGGTTGAGGCACTGTCTATGCATTGGGATTCATAAACTCTTGTGCTGGGTGCAAATTGTCTATTGCTTGCAGTGATGGACGACTGCTGGAACCTATGTTTTAACTGTCTGTTGCTCAGGTGCAATATAGACTCTGCGGATTCATCATGTGGATTAAGTGCAAGCTTTTCCTGGAACTTCACTGAAGAGTTTAATGACTACTTGGCTTGTAACGCATTGCTTTAGAAGCTATAGGTTAACTTTTAGGCAGGGGTTTATCCCCGTCTCTTGCATGATCGAGATAATTTTTGAATAACTTTCCTTTAGACTTGAGTGATACACCTGCAAAATACCTTGAAAGGCAAAGCGTGATCACACTGGGTCCCAAGTGCATGCAGTTGGTGGTGGGGGCAGTTACTAGCCTTGAAATATTTAAACAAGTGAGTCCAATGTTATTAGCAGTGGCAAGTCAAGGGATATTGCATTCTAAAAGCAGAAGTATCTCAGTTCTTATTCAGAGTCTTTATAAATATTGATTGAGGTCTAGGGCTTTGGCATTAACAAACTAACATAGATCACATCATTTGTACTACACCTTCAGATAGGGAATAAATGGTTTGACGAATAAGTCAATATGTGAAAATACCATTTTATGTTATCTATTTTCTTTTTATTTAGTCAAGAAGTGTTACAGTATTTTTTTTTTTTTTTTGAGGGGTCCACACTGAAAAAAATACACGTATTCATGTTTGGCTGTATGTGGGGGTTGCGTATCTGCATCTGTAATCTTGAAAACTTTCAGGTTTTTTAGCTGAGGCAATTAAATGCAAAATACAGTGCTTGATGGGCTGCATACAAGATTACAGAAGTTACACGTTTTGGATCCTGATGTCATTATAGTGTAGATATGCATTAGTGTTATGTTCTCTACAGTAGTATTTTTGCTATTATAAGATGATCTATGCAATAATAATAAGTCTGTACAGGAGTTGAGTGACAATGTGGAGCAGCCAGTTTTCAATGTGCACAAGTCTGAGTAAACCTCAGACTCAAAATGTCAGGTTCATTTTTCCTGTGGATATTCTAACAAAAAGCTAACAGAGATGTGTTCATCAGAATGTCACATGTTTGGTTGAAACCTCTGCTGTGAGTTCTGGAATGAAATGGAAAGGAGGTGGCTGGTCGGATGTGCTCACCCCTTTCTTCCTGACTGGATCAGCTGATCCCTGGGATTGATGATAGATAAAGCAAGAGTCTGCCTGAACTTCTGTCTGCCATGGCTTTTTATCTTCCTGCCTTTGAGCTGCCAAGACTCGTGCTCTGTTGAGGTTTCTTTTAGTTCCAGATGAAGCATCTTGGATCTTCTGCTGCACAGCAAAGTACTTGCTGTTCTAAAAATCCCCATGCGTGTGCTTCTCTTGGCCCGGAGGGGTAGTTCTCCTGTGCAGTCAGTGACTACGGCAGGATTCACTTAGCAGTATGTGTTAATGGGACTGACCTATTGACAGAATAAATTATCCATCTGAACCTAAAATGTGGAAAATGCACTGATGCTTTTTAAATGTGATGCGTTTAAAGGTTAATTAACTATATTCACTGTCGTCGTTTTCATAAGCTGTCATGGTGTCCTGATAATTTGACACCTCTGCAACTTGTTTATAAATGTTTTGTGCCTTTAACTGTTGTTTTGTGCAGCTGCCTAGAAGATCGCCATTAGCAAAATGCAGTTTCCTGTTTCTGTCTTTATGACATCTAGAAAATGTAATTGCATAAAATGAAAAGAAAAAGCCATTTGTACAGCCTGATCATCATAGGTCATGAAACAAGCACAGCCTAATAAAGCGTTGGCATGAAAGGCGACTTTTACTTTTCTCCCCTTGCTCCTCCATATGCTCATTTGTAGAATAGCAAATTATAAACAAGAACATTATTTAATCCTTGCCTCTAGCAGTTGTCTTTGTATGTGCTCTGTGCAGCTTTGCTTGAGAGAATATGAATCCCAAGTCCCATTTTGACAGAGACTAGAATTTTCACATGATCATGCGATCCTCTGATGCTCATCCAGCATCAAGCCTTTGTATCTTGTGGGATTTAGATTCTTCTGTCTTTCTGGAAATGTAGGAGAAGTATTAAAATGCAGCTCTCAAAGTCCAGGGACTAAGCAGAGCATATTGATCCCTTCCCGTTCACGTACACATTTGATGTGAGAACGCTGACCTAGAAGCACTGAGAGTTAGTTTATTAGTTTTGACATCGGGATTCGTTAGCTGTAATTCAATTAGAAGCACGCTGATGGATGTGTTTGTATGCTGGGGCTGGCAGCTGCCTTAGGTTCAGAAACTTACAATTCTAGTTGGGAAATTGTTTTGTGCAATCTTGGGTAAGATTTGTATTGCTAGGCTAAAAGTGACATCGTTCTTGGTTTGGTTTTTAATAGATTTCTCTTTGTTTCCAATTATGTTTCTAATTAGAATAATGTCTTATTTCCCATGACAGTTTAAAAATAATGTAAAGTCTGTAAAAGAGAAGTTATCAAGATGAATGAATAATGTTTTCTTTTTCATGTCTAAGACTGAAACCTTTTTCCATCTTAATTGGATATATAGACCTACTAGGCTACAAGAGTAATTTCGGTATTTACAGAAGGTTATGGTGCAGTAGTTGCTAAGCTTTCTCTGTCAATGTGTCTTGGGGCAGTTTCCATTCTCACCCCAGCACACACACGAGCCCTTAACCAGCCAGCTGTGCGTATTCCCTTTGTAGCGGGAAGACAGAACACCTCTCTGCCTTTCTATATAAATCTCAGATTTTCAGGTGTGAGATCTGCTGCTCTCTGCTCTACCCTCCGCTTTCCCATCCAGGCAAAGCTCCTTCCCTTCGCACCTGGGGTACAGTCTTTTGCAGCGGCATTGTTTCTCCAGGCCCAAAGATATTTTCCTGCCACTTAGAACTGAGATTTATGGTTCAAGGGATGGATGTCTGAATAAGGACATCCTGAATAAGCAGGAGTCTGGGAGCCTGAGAGTCCTAGTTGAGAACATAGTTGTAGTTTAAGACAATCAAAAACTGTGTGCAGTGGAAAGAATGTAGAAGAGATCTGAAACTTGCTCTTTGAGGGAAAGACAGATCTAAACATGCTGTGTTTGTGGAAGGGGTTCGGGCAGCCTGGGACAGAGGCTAAATCCAAAGCTGTCTCCATGGCTGCCAGCTCAGAAACCTCTGGAGTCTTTGATGCTGACTGCAGTGAACTTACCTCTCTATGCATAGTTTAGCAAGACTGAGTGTGGCTATCACAAGAGCCTGCCCGTATTTTTCTGGAGCATGACTTAAGTCAGGCTTCTGCCCGAGGTATGCTGCTGCCGTGTGTGGAATTACCTTTGGAGGTATGGGAGAAAGGTTGGGAGCTCCAGGATATGAGAAGGGATGGCATTTCCTTTCTGCTAAGTACCTTTGACAGTGCTGTGGTGATAGAGAAGGAGGTTAGAACAGTACTAAAGCTGAGATGTTTACCAGAAAAATCTAGGATTGCAGGTAAATACATATTCGCAAGGTCAGAGTGGTGATGTGCTTTGTAGCATCAGACATGAGGTTGAGAGTACATGGCAAGTCATATGTTCTGGCTCTGTCACAGAAGGTTCAGGACTGCAGGTATGGCTGTTACTTTTTGTAACAGCTCATTTTGTAATAATGATACTTCTTTCTTTTTTTTAATAGTATAACCAGTAAGCATAAGACACCAATTAATTATAGTAAAACCTGTTTGTGTTTCTAGAAAACCCTTTGATGTCAAATAGATCAGGAAATTCATCTGGTTTAAAAAAAAAAAAAAATTCCCTGCAAAGCTTTTCCCCTGGGTTCCTCCATCCTCCTCCCAAAACTGAACCACATGTGATGCTTTTGAGGCTGGGTTTCTTCTCTGGCTTGATTTGCAGAGTAGCTGGCACAGCTGAGGGATGCCAAGGTGTAGAGGTAGAGATGGGCAAGGGTGGCAGGAGTGCTTTAGGGAGGCTTTGCAGCCAAATGTTTCCTAGCGTTGCATGCTGTGTCAGAGTGCAAAAGCAGAATTTGAAGTGCTTTGGTAGGCAGCAAATTAAACACATAAGAGAAGACTTTTTTGAACAGTTTCTGGAGCTTTTTGTCACAAGATGTCATTGAGGCTTGACCAGCGTCAAAAAGGACTGGATATCCATTTGATAAGAAGTATCACAACTCATGCAATGAGATTAAAAAATACATACTTTTCTAGATGTAAACTGCATTGGTCTGGACCATGAATCAGTTTCTAGCAGAGGAGAATTAAGAAAATTTTCTGCATAAGGAGCTTATTCTGTATCTGCCTGTGTCTGGACTTTTGCATCTTTCTTTGAAATGGGATATAGGACTTGATGGGACCTTTGATCTGATTTCTTATCTGGTATAGTTATTACAGACCCTACTTTCAGCTTGCAAGAGACTATTAGTATTTCAGTGCAGTGAAAAAGTCTTGCGTGGTTGAGGCAGGCTAGATAATGCCCTCAAGAAAAATTCAAGTTTCCTTAACCTTTTTTGTCTATTTGTACCTTCAGGGTATACAGCATGGCCCAAACAGAGAAGAAGGGTGGGCTGCTCCGGAAATCTTCTGCCTCCAAGAAACCATTGAAGGAGAAAGTTGTGTTGATGTATGATGAGATTTTTACGGTAAGGACTTGAGCATCTCTTCTTTCTAAAGTGTTGTGTTAAATTTTCTTGGTTTAGTTTGTGCTGAGAGCTCTATATGGTGGATTATTTTCCCAAGGTAAGGACTGCACAGTGTAGGCACATGCTCATGCAAGAGCTCTGTATTCTGCTCTCTTCCTTAATGTCACCTTGTCCTGTTGTCTACCGGGACCATTTGTGACCTACAGGAAGTCACAGCTTTTCAAGTATTTCTCAAAAAATAATCCAGAAAATAAACAGAGGCATCCCAATTAAGAGCTGCTTCTGTTTGTCCTTCTGTTTCTGGGAATCTATGTAGACAAAATTCTGTACTGTGAGACCACTTGGTCATCCAGTGGGATGATGCTGCCTCTGAGCTACTCAGGATAATGATTTTCTTTAAATTCTGCCTGAATGATTTCTTCTTGTTTGTTCTCATGGCTGTTCCTTTTCCTTTCAGACAGAGGACCCCAGTAAATGCAACCCTAGGTTTTGGGAGGAGCTGTTTCTCATGAAGGTAACAGGAATTGAACATCCTTTGATTTGCTGCTGCTGTTCTGCCTACAAAGTGGCAGACTGTCAGTGGAAGGACTTGCCTTTCTAAGGCGTCAGTGATTGTGTAACATGCATGAACTGCTTCTTAACCTGACAGGTCAACTTGGAATATCTAGAAGGCAAGCTGGAGGCTCTGGATGGGGAAGAATTAATGAAGATAAAAGATAACATCAACTGCTTGTTTCAGCACTGCATCCAGGCACTGGGTGAGGAGCACCCAATCAGAGTGGTCAATGCGTTACAGGTACCACACTGAGAGACAGGGAATGCTCTCTTTTGCTTCTGATGAGGCAATATATTTGCAGCTGGTATCAAGTATCTTGTGCTCGTTTCTTTGCTTCTGAGGAGAAGTGATGTCTGCAGAGCAGTTGCTACTTATTGTCTGTGGAGGTTACAAACATTCATAGTCCCTTTAGTCTTTGAAGAACAATAGCTTGTTTCAGAATTCAAGAGGATCTGGTGATGCAGGATGAAGCGGATGGCGATGAGGGGACAAGAGGGGCTTGTTCACACCGCAGGCTGTTAGTTTGGGGGCTCAAGAGTACTCTCTGTAGCTTTGTGTTCTACTTTTGCCTGTTCTCACTCATTTCAGCCTCCTTTTTGAAATTCCGTATGGGTTGAAAATGAAATAAAGCTCTGGAGAAGTTAGTGTGAAATTTATACAGGGGACCGTCCCTGCTGGACACTTCCTAATTGGAAGCTGTGAAGAACTGTCACCAAGAATTAATAGCCATTTTCCTGCAGGTTGCTCCTTACCAAAGCTATGCCATCTCATGTCTTGTGCAGGAGACTCCCCTCCTCAGTCTTGATGTGTGATGTTATTACTTCACAGGTTGATTCTTACAGTTTGGTGAATGCTTGTGTCTCAGCTGTAGGAATACAGGATAAGAATTTCAGGTTTGGAGAAGTCACCTGTAGGAGATATTGGACAGGCAGTAAATTGGAAAAAGTTGATTTAAAACAGAATGTTTACACTTCTGACATAGAATCTTGCATTGCTTTATTATTTTATTTTTTTTTTTTAGAATTAGTTTGAAAGGATGCTATTAAATATTCTCATTATAGCTACATAGACAGTCTAGCCCAGCCCTGAGTTCCCAAACTCGTATTCTGGCTCTTGGCAAAAGTTAGGCCAGGGCTCAAGTCTAGAATCCTGCTGTGTGAGTGTAAATAGGAACCAGGTTACACATCCTGACCTTGAATTGGGAGAGCGTTTCCGTAATCAGACTGTGTTCATGTGGAGAGTGATCCTGAAGCCAGAACTTACTTAAGCAATCTTCTTGAAAACGACCACGGTGACCAAAGGTTTGTTTAGCACAGTATCCCATCTCTGGCAGTAACGAGAAAAAAGAGGATGTCTACCTTACCCTTTTGCTTCTGTATGGTTCTAGAGCTCTGCTGATTCCTTGAGGTCTACTTGTCTCCAGCTTTACATCTTCTGAAAGTAATTAATTCTCACAGGTGATTTTAAGCTGGAGTTAAAACTGCTCTGTATTCCTGCTCATTCCCCTCTTCACAGACCTGAAAGGTGCCTGATGGCAAAAGTCACCACAGGCATTTCCCTCTCTTGGGGCGAATGAGACATTTGCTGACCATAAATTTTCCAGAGTGTCTGCTGGAAGCATAGTGTAATGATACCTGAGTGTTGCCAGTGATCTCTGAGAACTCGATATGAATCAGTAATCCGGTGCCTGCAACAAGAAACTTGAAGGAGGTTACGTTTAGTGGGAAGGTTCTTAGAGCCCCTGAGGTAGTTAGGAAAGCTTAAGCTGCTTAATAGCCTTGGAGATTTTTTTTTTTTTGGACAAAGAGACAGTTTATTGGTCAGACTTCCTATAGCAGTGTGGTAACCGAACAGAAAAATGTGCTCTCTATAGCAGAAGCATCTGCTGTATGGACAGTCATAATGTGATAAACTATGTTGTAAGGATGTTGTATGTTTTGGTGTGCTTGAAATAAGAAATTAATCTGGAAAGCTCTAAGGCACGTCTATCCATATATTGGACACTTCTTCTGCCTTGCAGTTTCCTGTGGCCTTAAAGCCACACTTAGCTATTTTCCAAAGATTGTGGTCCTGTCTGGTACAGACTGGATCTGGACAGAAGCAGCAGAAAGATTACCTTTGCTCAGAGTGCTGTGAAATAAAGGGGTGAACAAACAAGGAAAAATATGGACATATATATTCTTCTCTAAATTTTTTGAGCTTTCAGCATCCAAGATCGTCCTTAGAAACAGTAGAGGTGGAGGTGAGGTCAGACAAAATGTATGGCTTCCAGGCTGGTGGTATTCATTTAAATATCTGTGCTTTGCAAGTGCTCGGAGACGGTCTTAGGGTGGGGTTTGCTATCGAGTTGGAGGTGTTACCTTACATCTTACCCTCTGATTTTTCCCTTTGCAGACGTTGTGTGCATTAATTCGGGGTGTCCATCAGAAGAACAAATCCACTTCTGGATTTGACATCATCAACATGCTTGTGGGTTTTGATAAGGCAGAGCTATGTATGAAGGTGAGGCCCTGGCAATGTAGAGAAACAGTTTGTGCAGCAGCCATGTTGCAGGGGCAGTGATTTGTAGACAGATGTGTCTACCAAGGTGCAGCTTTTGGGGGAAATATTCCAGCCACTTAGTAAAAACAGCTGTCTTGAAGTTCTTTACCTGCCAGTGGCACAAAGACACATGCAGTCCCTGTGTTTGTTAGTAATATAACTTTTCTTTCTTCTCCTTTAGTTCTATGCTGTGCGATTACTATGGTTAAGAAATGTTAAGTCCAGAAAAGGCTGTCACAGGCCATTAGTACCTAGCATTGAACCTCATACCTTGTGCTTAATTTTTAGCTGATAGTCATATCCTGTGTTCTCGCATTTGCTTCAGCACATGGACTGTTTTAAACTTATTTGATGCTCTTCACTGTAGAGATGTTGAGTTTTGGGAAATGACAAAGTAATCAGTGATAAAGCTGAATTCCTGTTGTGTTTTTCATCTCTCTACAAAAAGTAGTAATTTTTCATCTCCCTACAAATAGTAGTACATTTGGGGAAAACACTAAGTAGTAATCTGCCTATCAGAATCACATTTTTCCTTTAAGAATAACTGTATTACCTGTATTTTAGTATTTGGAAAACAATTATTTATTAATATCTGTCAAACAGCTCTGTAGAATCTATTTTTAATCATAACTAATATATGTACTATTAAACTGGAGGTGTGCTGCTTACAAAAAACCTCATGGTGCCTGTAAGTAAAATGGAGTATTGAAAAAAGAAGGCACTGATATTACTGTTCTGCAAACAAAAAGGAAGATCATATTTATAGAGCTCAGAATTACTTTGTGAATAACATCTATTGTATGTATACAAAAATCTCTCGTGCATCTAGAGAAAACTCTTGGAAAATGATCATGATGCTATGTCTGTAGTCATTAAACTGTAGTTAACACAAAACAATGTAGAGAACCAACAGTGTGAATATGGCCTGTGTAATAGTGGTAATGGCTCAGTTATTGGTTCTGGAATAACATGGCTTTATATTAGTGCTCTTGTATTTTAATCTCCCAGAAGGGTTTTTATAACAAACATTTCAAATAATTTTAAATATTACTTTTAAGTAATGTGATTGTTGTTCTTTAGAATCTGATGGAGAGCTTGGACTCGCTCCTCTGTGCAGAAGGTTCTGAAAGCCTCAAAAGCTTGTGTCTGAAGCTACTTCTCTGCTTGGTGACGGTAAATAAGTACCATCTATATAATAACTTAAAGACTTATATGAGCCACATCTTGAGGGATGGAACTATCTCAAAACTTGAGCAGAATGCTGCAGACTGAAGCTTAAAGGGAAAGAAATTGTGAATGAGAACAAGAGTCAGCCCAGAATATGCATCATTGCTGTAACCATGATGCCAATACAGACTAGCAGGCTGTTTTCACCTCGTAAGATAGGTGCCAACCGGGGCAAAAAGGGATAGACGCAGGAGAAAGTATCAATTGGATTCATGGTTGGTTTTTTTTTGGGGGGAAAAGATATTTAAGAAGTCTCGGATACATGGAAAGGGACCAGAGGAGAGGGGTTGAGGAAAGACAGGAAGTGTGGAGTAGACAGGGGTGGTGAGGATGTGAAGAATGAGGGAGGTGGAACAAATGGCCACTCATCCTCTCTTGGAGAGGTGTTAACTCAGCTGTTAACTATTATGGCTGCAATAAGAGATAATTGAGTGTGGGGCAGGTCTTCACTGCCCTGTTAGTGCTGGGAAGGTGCTCAGTAGAGCGTATGCACCCTGTTTTTTCTTTCTCTGCCTCCTGTGTAGCAGCATCTTCAGCTGCTGATGGCTGTTGTCATGCAGCTGTGTAAAATATCAATCTGTAGAGGAAAGGGGGAGCTCTTAGTATGTGGGTCATGCTTCTTGCTAGAGAGAGGGGTGGGAGGCAGGACAGATTTCTTTTACTTCATGTCTAGCTCTAACTGCTAGTCACACCTTCACTTGCTGACTAAATGTGGGATTCTGGATAAATGTATTCATCTGGTAGTAGAACCCCTCTGTTCCCAGTGTGTGCCAGAGGCAGCTACAGCGTCATGGGAGGCTTCGGGTGAGATTTTTAAAACTTGTGTTTGTACTCAGGTGACAGATAACATTAGCCAGAACACCATCCTGGAGTATGTGATGATTAACAGCATATTTGAAGCTATTTTACAGGTAAGGGTTCTTCCTTCTACTGCAAGGGCTCTTCCATAGTGAGAACTTTCAGTGATGTATTTGCTTTTCAGTTTTTTCAGTGCAACATAGCTGACTGGCACTGTGTGTTACTTCCATTTGTAGCTCGGTCATAGGTTTGGGTTGTTTGGGTTTTTTTTTAATTGCTGTCTCCTCCTTATTCTAGTCTGCTGGTTTTAATCACTACTGAGAATTTAAAGTATTTTCATTTCAGGCATTTGTGTGTAGATAGAAGAGATTTCTGGGCTAATTTCACAGAGAATTCCTGGATCGGAGGAACTTTTTTCAAAAGGCAGTCTTGGATATATTGAGATTTTTTTTTTCTGCTCTTTGATAACTTATACTGTTTAGAAGTGGAACTGGGCTTGGGGAAACCCAGAAAACTTGCACAAATAATGTCGGTGGTGCACTGAGATACCGTCTAGTGCTGTTGAGAAATATATTTGCCCTTTATGCCCAGAAAGCCTGTGTGCATCCTCTCTGTCATAAACAAACTTCTCTGTGTGTCGAACTTCTTGGAAGCGCCGACACTCCTTCAACCTTAAATATCCTCTTTCAGTTAGGATGTAATTTGCTCTCATGCATACATTTCACAGCCGTGCACTGGCTGAGAGTCATAGCAAGCTTCCTGAAGCAGGTTTGAATGCAACAGTGTGATTATTTATTCCAGATCCTGTCCAGCCCACTTAGTCGCAGGGAACATGGCTATGATGCTGTTGTCCTTCTTGCCTTGCTGGTCAACTACAGAAAATATGAGGTAGGTATTCTTCTGGATAACAGAAACATCACTTCTCTCTACTTTATTAATTTACACTGGCCTCTGAATTATTAAGGCAGCTTACAGTACAGTTTTTAGCAGTACACACTATAACATTTGTCAGAGTATCGGCGCGGAGCTACAGAAGTTTTGCAAGGCAGTCATATTATGCTAACTGTATCCATCCCTGATGTATGTATATAATCAAATGTGTATGATATTCATATAGCTCGTTTTGTGCAAGCATGAAAGAAACTATCTAAGGGATTTGCATTTCCTTCATGAAAGTATTCTGAGGGTCCTTTTGGAAGAGTTACTGTTGTGCCGAACTTGCATGTTTGCCTCTGCGTGTGTGACTGTGCAGTTATACATAATCTCCAAAGTAAAATGAACTGTCAGTCATCTTGGGCTTCAGGCTGAATTTGTGATTCAGAACCTGACTAGCAGACTCAAAGAGCACGGATTCCCAGAAGAGATGGTGAAACTATGACCAAAGAATGAACTGAAACATCAGAGCTAGTATTTCCGAGAGGAGTCTATCTCTCTCTCTTTGACTGATTCCTCTCTGAGAAACTTTACTCATCTTCCTTTTTCTATACTGGTTGTGCTACTTTGTGGTGTATTCCCATTTTTTTTCTGTTACTCATCATCTTGAAAAAGAAAAATTTGAAATGGCAAAACCCACCTAATGTTGGCTTTTCTTTGCATAAGGCATGATGCTTTGATGATCCATCTTATTTTTTTCTGTAATTAGGAATATCTTAATATACTTAAAGTGACAAAAAATGGGAAAGTGCTGGAATACCCGCTCTTCAATGGAAATGTTGGGAGGGGACAGACTCCAAAACCTATCTGGTTATATAATAGATCTTATTTTGAATTATGAATAGACCTAGCGAATAGGCAAAGACAGGACTTACACTTAGTGTCAAAGTAATCGCTGTTAATTTATCATTCCTGTGAATGTTGTCAGAATCATGAATTACAGTTTCTGTTCAGCAATCTGTGCTGTGGTAGCATGGAACAGGAGCATGGGGTTTGGTTTCAGTATATGGCCATGAGGGAAAACTGTTGGGAATGATATAGATAGGGTTACTGATGAGGACAGACTGGAAAGACCAGAGGTCTCATTGCAACATTCAGGTCAAAGGGTGGAGAGCTATGTAGTCCCATCCCTGAGCTATGGATCCCTGCGTACTATAGTTTATGTCCTTAGTAAGGTAGAGTGCTGTGAGTACATAAGACTTGTCCTCTGCTCTTTGAAGTAGCTTTCTGCAGAGTATTGAGTTGGAGTCAAGTGCTTTGGAAAACATTGTCCTAGGTGTCTTCAAACTGGACACCCAAAAGAAATTGTGCTGATGTTTAAAAAGTACAGTCCAACCTGAGGCAGACGTGTAGCAAGGGGAATTTCAGCTTGAGTAGTTCATCTGGCAAGGTTGAAAGCAACTTGAAGAAAGGTTTTATGTGACGACTGCCTGACGCTGCCCTTTGTAAGCAGCACTACAAGCAAAGCCTGTAGTAATGCAGTCATAATCTTTGTCCTTAAGTAGAGTATCTGCTTCCATTTGCTGTTCTTTGGTCCTTAGAGTCAGTTTGGTGGTTGCCTGGTTGTCAGTGTATTGTGGCATACTTTCATCCCTCAGATCCTTTGGAGTTCTCTTTTTAGTTAACTCTGCTGCAGTTGATAGGTTCTCTTTTGTTCTGAACTTCATTGGTTGCTTAAGAAAATCTAATAAGGCTGAAAATTCATTAATTGACTATGATTTTGTGTCTGTCTTTAATGTGAATACCAGTGTATTTTGCATCAGGATGTTCTTTCGTATTTTTGGGATGTGAATTCTGTAGTCTCCTCTCAAATTCCCTGGGGAATATCTGTCCATGTTTCCATTACCAGGGTAGCTGAGATCTTGGCTTGCTCATTAACTTCTATTCTAGGCGTAAAAATGATTTACATGTCTTTACATGGAACCTTTAAAGGGATGTCCCTGATCTGAAACCTAGTAATTTTCAAAAGTTGTTCCAAGGATATACTTATTAAAGTCTTCAGCTATGTTTTATGGGTTTTCTTGATCCTAGTCCTCATGTCAGAGAAAATATTTTTACCTTGATACTATGTGAGAGAAACATAAAAGAGTAACTGAAGAATTGACTATATCAGGAAAATCATGAAGCTAAGTGTACACAAAAGGCTGCGAAACAGAGAAAATGCTGTGAGGAAGAGTATTTGATCACCTTCTCAGTGTTTTAAGGGATGGCTGCTAGAATAGCAAGTTGAAACATAAAATCAGGTAGTGACTTTTATGAAGGAATCTAACTATTTAACATCAAGGTGGAAATTTCTTTGCCTCATGTTCAGCCTGCTATAGTTGCATACTGTGTCTTTTGCTAGGCAGAGCTGAAAGAACTTAGTCAAAATGTGGGTTTTCCCCTTTGTGTGCTTGTCTGGCAGCATACAGTATATCCGACGGCCCTTCGTGTCCACTGTACGTGCACTTGCCTCTTCTTGATACAGTCAACTATAGGTGCTGAAGTGACTCTTGTCGACATCGAAGACTCAGAAAATTATTCTTTTTTTTAAACAAAAAAGGTGTCTCACAACTCATATTATTTTAAATTAATCTCTTTAACAAAAAGAGTAATTATTCAAGCTCCAGTTCCCTGCAAGATGGCCTGCCTGCAGAGGAGATGGCCTCATCAGGGCTGGCAGCAAAGCTGCTGAATCATCCCTAATGAGTGTTCAGGAGAAAGTTTTGTGAGGGATAATCGAGTGGACACTGGCCTTCCTTTGTGTTACAGATGAGAAGATAAGTTAAACACCTAACTAGGGATTACACATGGTTAGCTTGGTTTTTTTCTGCTTTCTTTTCCTATCAAAAAAACTGTTTCCCATAGGTTTGTGTTGGAGGCAGAGGTACATTTTGGGGCAGGGAGGAGATCTTACTCCCTCTGCCAGACCTGTGTGCTTCTTCATATAATACTCGCTTTGTATGGCACGTCTCACCTGGGGATTGCTTTAAAAATTACCTGGTAATGATCTCCCCGTACCTTTCACCTTCATTTTTATGAGATTGTTGGTGTCTAATGGTGGGTAGTTTGTGGAGGACATCTTGAGTATTCCCAGATTCCAGGAGTTTGTGTCTATACCTCATCACTGACAAGAAGACTTTAATGCTATAGTGTTTGTTATCTGGTGGCAGTGATAGGAAAAGACCTGTGTTCTCTGAAGAGCTGAGAATCATATTTTTGAGTTCTGGAGGCAGGTGGAGGCAGAAGCTATTTCTAAGTTTGTGTAACCACTTCATTGACACACTTTGAAGTTTTCAAAATGCTTATCAACCACTTTTCAAGGCTGTTGCATGTTTCTGCATGTTGTGGAATGGCAGGTGTAATTTAGACTTTTAGAACTTTTGCTGTGATTCCCAGTGAGAGGGACTGAACTCTGAAACAGCAGGATTAGAATAGGGGAGCAGGCAGGGAGTATGGGGCGGGCTTAGGGGTGCTTGTGCAACTTGCAGGTTGCTGACGTTCATCGTAGATGTGCATACTAATGCTTGTAGGCAGTAACTGGAACTGTTGGCCCTCGAGGAGGGGCAGGAGCAAACTGCACACCCTGCGGGCAGCACAGGAAATATTCTCATCACACTGGTACAGAATTGCACACTGAAAGGCAGTAGAAACTGCCTTGTCCCATATAGAGTAATACGGTGTGTGGATTACACTGGTTAGTCATCTGCCTGCTGCTTAAGGAGTTAGGGAAGCCTGGAGGAAGCATGAAATGTGTCAGGGGAATGGAATACTTCAGACAGAAATTACTAAACAGACTTCTGCAGGTATGGAAATGACAATTGAAAAGGTAGAGGGCAGAGATCTGTAGCAAGCTAGGCCAGCTTCGTGACCCTATCAGCTGTGCACTGATGACATCTTGCTACCAAGAGGCAGGAGATGTGGAGCATGCGTCTTGGAATGAAACCGGAGTGTGAAGAGTTGTTCGTAGGCTGGAGATGACAACGAGCTCACCCCCCTTCCCTTTCTGTGATGGGACAAAGTGTATGACTAGGTCTCGGGGTAGCCTGGTGGCATTGGCCAGTGTAGTATCTCCCAGTTTGCTATTCCCCGCATCTGGGAATTTGGATAACCCTGCAGCCTCTAATCCAGCATAGCCCTGCTGCCCATTGCCGGGAAAGACCCCATCACTTTTACTGGTTGCAAGTCTCAGGCTGGCCTCTCTTCTGTGCTTGAGCTGTGGTGTGGAGAGTTTCTCCTTGTATAAGGAGAGCGAGAGAATGACTGAAATTAGCAAAACTAAGATATATTTACAAGGATGGATTTTAAACTATATTTAATTACAAATTTGTGAAGCTTGCTTTTGCTTTACTGACACTGATTAAATTTAATTTCTGAAGGGGAGCATGGTTGTACAGAGATGACTATATATTGTTACTCAATAGGAGCCTGTACTCCAGCCTCAAGGAAACATCTTTGCATGCTTCGTGCACAGATGGGTTCTGTGTGAGTTTTCTGTCTTTTTCTGAGACAGCAGACAGGGCTGTGTCGTGCTGGAGGCAGGCTGACAGACTGGCTGAGCTTTGGCCTGTTCTGATCAGTTTCTTTTCTGAACCAAAAAGAAAGCCTGATCCTCCCAAAGCACTAAATAATTTTGAGTGATGTTTTCTGCTCAGCCTTATTTTTAACATGTTTGCAAGCGTGCACAAATCAGTCAGACAACTGTGTAACTTGTAGGTCTGCATCTGATGCGTGCTTTGTGTTTTATTCTTCCCATCCACTTTGGACTTACTATGTAGATAGAGCCTTTTCTTCTCTGTCCTCTTTCCAAATCAACTTTGTTAGTTTTTCACTGACACACATAAACCAGGAAAAACAAATGTACTTCGCTAATCTAAAATGCTTCCTAGATTATTAGGACTTATCTTTATAGATGGAGCCTGTGTGGTTTGTTCAGCTAAATTCAAGAAATTTCTGTTCTCCAGAGGCTTCTAGCTTTCAGTGGTGTAAACAGTTAAGTGTTGGGCTCTAATCCAGCAGCAGATGAGTCTGTAACATTGTCATGCCTTCCTGGGTCCTCCTTCCTTTAAGCAATCTTTGCAAGGTGTTGCAGGAGGGAGATACTGGAATGCTAATGTTCAGTCCCAGCTTCGCTGCTTACTCCTGCTGCATAACAGTGTGTGTGTCACAGATAACACACTTGCAGGACAGCTGCCCCACTTTCAAACCTGACAGATGAGCTACTGGAGGAGCAGGAACTCCCTCTCTTCTCAATAAAATCAGGAGAGCGCCTGGCTGAGTTGGTAAAGAGAAGGTGTCCCAGGCATAGCAGCCTTAGCGTGTGCTGTGACTCCTGTTTCTTTGTGTGTATTCTGCTTTGTGGGACAGGAGAGAGATTCTTCCCAGGTGGTTGGGTAAACTTGGAAAGATAATACTGTTTTTTTCCTCAAGGCTGAAATTAAAACCAATTTTTCTTTCTTCCTTCTCCACCCACCACGAGCAGTCAGTGAATCCCTACATTGTGAAGCTCTCCATCGTAGATGATGAGGCCACACTCAATGTGAGTATTTGACTTGATTCCTCTGCGCTGCTGGGGATGTTCTTTCATGTGTGGTGTTAGTGTAATGAATGCGATCATGGTGTCTTAGAAAGAAGGTCTAGGAACAGTGCTGCTGTAAAGAACAGCAGTATAGTGGGTTTCTGCTCTAAATGCACTCTTGCAATAGGTTAGGCAGCTCGTGATTTGGACTGTTTGATGACCAGTTAAATTGTGGGGCTTATTAAAAAGCTAGGTAGCAAGGAACATGCTGAAGTTGATCTATTATACATTTATGAACTATCTATACACTATTTGCTGTCATGTGCCAAAGAGGCACAAGATAGCTTATGCCGAAGATCTCATTTCCAGTGCTGTGTCATCCAATTTTACCAGTCCACAAGTCATTTCTTGTAGCTCAGTGGAAGCTTGTACCCAAGTCAAGAGTCCTGCAACATATTTTGGGTTGTAGCCACTGTCTACAGTTTTGTATGCAGGCCTGGATGGAAAATAGCAGCACACCATGAGCTATGTGGGGTCTGGATGTAGCTGTTCTTTAGGCATGAAGTAAAAAGCAAGGTCTGTGCTAATTAAAGGGTGAGAACGATTATTTTGAGTTAGTTAAATTAGCTTGACAGAAGGGATGATCAGTAGGTGTGAAATGGTGAAAGCTGTTTGCAAGAAGTGAAAAGGTTACTAGTGTTTCTGGCCTTTGTTTTGAACTTTTGGATGTCTTTCCTCTGACACCAGCTTGCTTTTGAAGTTCTTGCCGCTTTATTGAGGCTTCTTAAGTAAGGTCTTTCTGGAGGTCCAAGGAGAGTCAATGTTCACTGATGAATTTAGTAATTAGGTATTCAAATTTAAATTTTGGTGTCTTGATTTTTGGATGATACTTTTGTTGTATCATAGCGTGTCTTAATAGTTCAAACAGCTTCAGGGGAAATTACTCATAGCATGCTGGGTTATCTTGGCGGGGAACAGCACCGCTATACGTGTTCAGTGTGTGATTTCATGCATTGAGATTTGTAATGTAAAGATGGTGGGTTTTTATGCTTTTTTTTCAGGGAATGGGACTTGTAATTGCCCAGGCTTTATCGGAATATAACAGGTAAAACCTAATTGTCTCTTGTTTTTGAGTGCATGATAGTTGCTGTACGTTTCCACAAATTTTTTTTTTGTGTTAAAGCACTTATTTATCACCTAACAGCCCTGATGCACCTGGAGAGGCAGGGAATAGTCTTATGCTTTGAGGTACTTCGGCTCAGTTGTTGCTGTCATTGCAAGTGTAAATGCACCCGAACCAGTTGGGCTGATGTGCTTCAGGAGAGATCTTGCTGTACAGGAGGATAACTATTGTATGTTTTTACCATCGTGGCTTTTACCTCTGCATGAATCTTGTGTAAAATCTTAGTCCCAAGTGAGAAGATAAATGATTTGCTGAGTACTTCTCTGTTAGCAAATTGGTTTAACTGAAACATGATCTAAACCAAACAAATGTATCGAGGACTATGCAGATGCCGGATCAGAGATGGTATGGGAATGTATGCTCTTGCAAATGATGGAAAGCAGTAACTACTTCTGAAGAAAGAACCAGAAAGTCAGCAATAGGGGTAACGTGTTCCTTTCCTAAGAAGAAAGTGCCTCAGAAAAATTTGGAAACTTACAACAATTTCACATGAGCAACCTAAGACTTTTTTTTTGTGCAGCAGGATTCTTAAAGTATCTAGAAAAACATTTTAATTCCTTTGAAGATCTGCTATTATAGATATGCAGATAAACTTGCAAGATCAGCAAATCATGTAAATGTATTTAAAAGTAAATTATTAAAGTAAAGCAGAAAAAACCTCACCTACCCAACTGCCTTCATTTTGACAAAAGCTGTCTCAGACCATGGCCTGTTTTGCTTAGCTCTTTCTTTCCCCCTTCCCAAAAATTTACAATTGTTTTCTTTGCACGTTGCATTGTGTGTGATCAGATTCCTGTATGAAAGACACAATAAATGGCCATGTGAGCTTTACTAGTCCACTTGAATACCAAATGAAGGAACTTAGCTTGAATCTGAGGCACCCAACCTATTTGTTAACTTCAGTTACTCCAGTTCCAGTCCCTTTGCTTACTCCAGGAATTGAAGATCAGGCAGGATCAGGCCATGAACCGTAATGGTTTTCATGGTTTCTGGTGACCATGGGGTGATGGACTGGTTTAGTCTGTAGCGGATGATGATTGAAATGAAACTGTTCTGTGGTTACGGACTGTGTGTGTTCATGTGGTTCATTACTGTTTTGCCAGTGCAGTACAAAATTTCCTAAGTCATTTAGTCCCTTTCCTTCAGCATTAGCTGATACTGGATGTATCCTCTATAACAGCACAGGCATTGTTCAGTCTTACATCTTTCAGCAACCCCACTTCGACTCTACACAATTTACAAATATTTTAATAGCCTTTGCATCTCTTTTTGTCTCTTCTTGAAAAGGGCTTGTGAATGTTGGAGCTTTCTCCATCCAGTATCCTTATCAGATAAGACTGTCTCATAGGGATTTAGATAAAATAACCCTAGTTCCATTTCTAATCCTAAGATTTATCCTTATTCTGTTTTGTTCAGGCAATACAAAGATAAGGAAGAGGAGCACCAGAGTGGTTTCTTCTCAGCCCTAACTAATATGGTAAGCAAGGAAGCACTGGTTTTGTATTCTTCAAATAGGTGCCGTCATGGAAGTTTAGCAGGAGGGTGTCTCCAAAAACTGTGAATTTGGGATGGGGGTTCTGGAGGAAGACGTGCATTGATCCAGTCCTAACCAAATACAACTGAAATGACTGTGTTCTGTGGAGTATGTTGTTGTCTGTCTGGGAAAGGTCTTTCAAAGAATGAGATCTCTGTTCTGACATTGATAATTGAAATTGTTTTCCTTCATCTTCCTCATTCTGGTTGACTTTAAGTCACAGTTACTTGTTGGACACTTTTATTATTTTTAAAAACAAGTTGCTGCTCTGCTGATGTAGCCTAAAAGAGAGAAGCTGAATATTTTTGTGGCAGTCTAGTCTGTCACTAGCTTTAGAGATTTGTTTATTTACGGTCTTGTTTCTCAAGCCTGGGTACACTGTAGCTATGAAGTGAGCTTGGATTCTGCAATGGACAGTGTCTACATTTTCGGAGGGGTACCCTCCAAAGGCAACTGTGAATTTCTTCCTTGTAAAGAGTATCCATTGTTCCCCTTTTTCAGTTTGACTTTACTCTAGTCTGAGATTTAATTGTAGTCTGAGATCTAACTGACAGGAAAATTTCCCGTAAGTACGCATAGTTCAGTGTTGACAGCTGTCTGTCAGGAGTGACATGGGTAAAACTGCTACCACTTTGGGGCAAGCAGATAGGAAGCAATCTCTGTTGTCCTCTTACAGAATCACAAACTAATCCAGGTTGGAATTCAAGATAGTCTTCCCTCCCTCTTTTGTGATTTGACAGGTGAAGCATTGGTCAGTGACAGTAGTGCAAAATAAAATGAGTTTGTAGATGGTCATCCTGTCTCCCATTTGTATTTTACTAATATTAGAAAGAAAGTTGCATGTGTGCCTTGGATGAGAACACCTCTCCCAGGGCACTTCTGATTTACTTAAACAAGAGAGAAGACATGGATTTAATAGCTTTCACAAATTCCTCCTATGCAATACTCTTTCTTTCCATAGGTGGGCAGCATGTTCATAGCAGATGCTGATGAGAAGATCTCAGTCCAGTAAGTGCGCCGATGTTACACATTGAATGGCAACTCACCACACTGGTCAATGTGGTCTGCTCCATCATGGAGCTGTTGCATGTAGCAAAGCAAACTAGAGAGACAAGTTCTCTTGTAACTAGAATGGTACCACATCCCTGCAAACAATGGATTCTCACTTAATTGAGAGGGGTGCAGCAGGAGGAGCCGCATAAAGTGTATAAAAAACCCTGCGTGTTTTTTATGAGGCATGTTTAACATATAATCAGCATGTTGGAAGGTGGCAGATGGGAAGGTGGTTTGTGCACTCTTGTCCCCAACAAAATGTTTTCTCAATCAAGGGGGCAAGTGATAAATATGAGGGTTTGTGGTGTCTATAGGAACCTTTGCCCTTAAAAGAAAGGACTTTAAAGAGAAAACACTGAGCAATGAGGGAGTCCAGCAGGAAGGGAACAAAGACTGTAGTCAAGCTCAAAAATTAGCTGTTTTTATGGATTGCTACTAATAATTGTAAGAACAACTGGATTGCAAAGCAGAATTTTGTATAGTTGAAACAAAATTTCTTCTTTCAGATGGGCCATGCTTCTGAAAAACTTTTCTCTTGGGATTCTCATCTGGTGTTAGCCCTCAACTAACTGTGCTTTTGTCTGTGTCCTTTCCACAGAACAAATGAAGCAATCCTTTTGGCCCTCTATGAAGCTGTTCACTTAAACCGAAATTTCATCACAGTTCTGGCACAAGTGAGTTTCAGTGCAATGTTTCCCCTTTTCTTTGTAGTGGATGTCTTTGAAATTAGTGAGTTGGAAATGGAATCAGTGAAAAGATAAGTTTTCTTTTTTTCCCCCTGCATACTTGTCATAGGTGTAGATCAGCATGAAAGATCAGAAGCACGCTACAGCCTGGGTTTATTATGCTTTTAGGAAATGTTTCCTGCCTTGCCAGAAAATAAGTAAAGTTTTGAAGGCACAGCTCATGTTGGAATGAGCCATTTTTCCCACTGAATGGGAAGGGCTGTGTGGAGTCCCTTCTGTGCCCTATTGATTTTGCCTTTAGGGGGAAGATGGAGTGAGTGGACTGGTACGGATAAGATTGCTGCAGCTATCAGAGCAATTCATGCTCTTGTTAAGTTAGAGTTGAGGGGAAGAGGCTGAACTGGCTCCAAAGTTGGATGAATTGTCCTGTCTGGGTGTGCACAGACTGCATTTTGTTGTCTGTTTGGGTATCCTTCGCTTAGGGACTAATTGACATGTGATGACTGTTGTTTCAAATACTATTTGTGTTCAAACTTCCTTGGAGAGCCCAACCCCTTTTGCTTGGGAGACTGTTGCCAGAGCATAGCACTTGTCCTTGTGCTGTTTATGGTGAAGAAGCAGTTATGGCAGCCTTCTGAGAAGCAACGGGCTGCTCTGTACCTCTGATCACAAACCTCTGGATGCTTTTCTAAACACTGTGTGAGTTTGCAAAGGTGGTTATTGCTGGGAGACAGATCAGGAGTGAGTTTGATTTGGTGATCGTGCTGTGGCTGGCTGGAAGGATAGCCTGATGTGTTTATGAAAACCTTCAGGTTTAGGCTTTTAATTATGGTTTGTAAGTACTGCTGGTAATCAGTGAGAAAAATGACATCAAGAAAACGGTTAACACGTTTCCCCAGTTATTTCAGGTCCTCAGAGTGCAGCCATACATCACAGGCTAGACACTTGGCATGACGGAGGAGACCTTCGGGAGCTCCTGACAGTAGTGGTGATGGAAGAGGTCTGATAGGCGGATCTGCTGCCTCTGAAGAACGCTTCTTTTCCATGGGTGGTTAATTTGCTGAGGTTCCCTGCCTCTCTTTTCCCAAGTTATTCATTCTTACCACTTGTGAGAGATTTCTGCTCTTTCAGTTCTGTGTAATACCAACTCAGGCCTTTCTGTGGTCGGAATATCCCTGAGGGAAGAGAGGCCTTTGGCAGGGAAAAGAGTAGGGCAAGAAAAGAGCAGCTAGAGTAAAAGCTTTTAATTTAAAAATAAAAGGATAAACTAATTATTTGTGAAAGTGATAGCTGAAGCAGCCACTGATTAGTGGGTTTAATTGGAGGCCTGATGTTCTTGCGTGGATTGTCTGTAATCCTTCATTTAAGAGAGGGCAAGGTAGGTCATGCTGTCCTTTGGGCGGGGAGGGGGACGGAAAACCCAAACAAACCAAAAAAAACCCCAAAACTCATAAAAGCTGATGAATGCCCTTGTCTAAGTTGGTGTCTATTGCTAGGGACTGCATGGATGACTACCTGCTGCTGTGTGGGCACGTAGGAATGGCAAGGATACAGTTGTGTTGATGCCTGGTGTTCAGTTTTTGGTGTACTTACCAGCTTGTTGGTCCCCAGTTTTTGCTGGTAGGTGGCACTGTTCTCTCAACTGAGGGTTAGTGTTTAGGGAAAAGAAAGGTAAACACCATAGCAAAATCTATGGAAGTGAACCTGTTTTATGTAAGGTTTTCAATGGAAAATTATATTTTAAAGTTGAAATCGGTACCTGTAATGATTTAAAATTGTCTTTGAATTGTAGTATGTGTGTCTGTGCTTCCCATAAAATATGTGCACTTATAGTTGCTCATAAAATGAGATATTCAAAGACAATGTGAAGGATATCCACTTATGAAAAATCCTACGGAACTAACCTCAAATCATCCCTTTCTTTTCTTTTGAAATTGTGATGATATATAAAGGTAGATGATACATTTATGTAAAACTTGCCCTATGAAATGGACACTCTGCTTGTCAGCCAGACTTAAAATAGCATGGCAGATTGCCTACAGTCTCACCAGTGTGAATAGATCCAGAAGCTTACAAAGTCAAAGCAATAATTAGGCAGGCAACTATTAACAAAGATTAAATGGGGAGAGTAACTGACTGATGGAAGCCGGGAGGATCGATAATGATAGTATTATTTATGTTATGCACTCTTTTCCTGCAGTGCCTGGGCTTTATAGTGAGACAGGGAAGTAATAAATTGCCATCATCTTTGAGTATGAACAGGTGGAGGGCAGGAGAGAAGTGAATTTGCTTTTAGAAAAAGAAATAAAGGGATCTTGGAGGAAGACTTCAAATGCACACCCTTGGGTTGTTTTGGGGGTGAATTGGAAGCTATAAACAGTGTGGGCTTCTGCGTACCTTTTCCCATTCTACGCTGCGGAAGGGCATGTTATCTGTCTGCTGGGGACAGCCACTACGTTCTGACGTGTTTTTATGTTTTGTGGAGTAAAGAAATTGATGTACAGTTTAATTGTTAGACGTCCAAGGTCAGGAAGCATAGCCTTGCTTTTTGGAGGAGAGGTTGAAGTTTCTTGAAACTTCTTTAGTCACGTCTGTTGTGTGAGAGCGTGGAACAGTACAACTAGTGATCTGTGTGCCTAGTGCCTAGGGAAGCTATTGACCTGTGTGTGTCTGGGCATTTGTGTTTTCTGTTAGAGCCATCCTGAAATGGGGCTGATGACAACACCAACAAGCCCAATTCCAACGACACCTGTCACTCCACTTGGAACCACCCCGCCTTCTTCAGATGGTAAGAAATGTAATGATCTCCTGGGGAAAAACAATTAAAATCTGTAAAATAACTAGCGAAGCATTTTCTCAGGATAGCAACTAATGAGGTCTACCTGGAGCAGATGTAACCTGGTGGTCTCTTCCTGGAGTGACTTACCTTACTAAACAAGAGCAAGATTCTTTGACTTGAATTTATTTCTGTTTTGCCTTGTATATTGCTCAATGAAATTATGCTGATATTCCTTCTGCAAACAGTACTGTCCCAGTATCTGCATGAAGATACACCCAGCCCATTAGTTATTCTGTGTAGGCTTTTACTTACGAATATTTCTAGTGTGAAGTTCCTTGCCTCAAATAATTTGTCATTAGAATGGACTTAGAGAAATGCAGTGGATTCCTGCTTGTCGTTAATGCACTTGTCCCCAGCTTTGAATTAGTTGGGATTTGAATCCAGCCTGAGTGTAGAGGTATTCCTCCCTCTTGTTGCCTTTTTTTCTGATAGGCTTTGTAAATGACTGCTTGCTGTGAGCTCTTTCTTCTAAATGAGTTGTTACATGTCCACGTAAATACGCTTTGAAATCATCTGAAATAAACCCCTTCTTGTTTAAGGTATGGATAGATACAACCTCGTTTAAGAGAAGAAATCAAATGGCTGTTGCTACTTACTTTAATGGCATCCTCTAGATCTGAAGAAAGTGCTTAATAAACGAATAGAGTCAGTTTGAATAGAGCACAGTTTGGAAATACTTCTGGGGAAAACAGCCTGGGTTACTCAGTTGTATCAGCTATTCAGGTCATTTGATATCCTAGTTAAGGATGATCCTCCTTGTGGATGAATTCTATCTGGTTACCATGGATATCAAAAGCTTCAGGTAACAAAACCTTTATGTCTCAAGTCTCCCCGTGCATATAACATAAAATGTAGAGGGATGGGCATTTTGTGGGCTTCTGTTCAATGTGTTCATTGCAAATGTATCCACCCACACACCATATTATACAACTGACAGAATTTATGCTTACCTACATTTACAGCTTGCTCACACTTTCTTTTTTTACTGAGAAATATTTACCAAAACAAAAACTCCATCCTGCTTTCAGCAGAGGCAGTGATCTTGCGAAGCTTGAGGCTTCTTGCCACTTGTAAGGTTACTAAGTTTAAGAACAGGAGCTAATCTTAATGTACAGCACTTGCATTGGGAAGCATTCTTTGTTTCTATTTGCTATCACCTTGCTGATCCCTACTCTGTGATAATTTTTTTTTTTGAGGACCTCAGCTTGGTTTAGTTTGGTGGTGCTCTAGTATTGCTGTTATCTTAAAGGTGTGTCAAAATCTTTCTCATTTTCTAAGGTCCTGCTACTCAGCTGTAAAATTTGCCTATGGCTGAAAGTTAGCAAGAGGCTTTTTGGCTTTGGAATGAAAAAATTGCTTTTTTCTTTTTCCTGTGTTTAAAAAAAATGTGTAGTTGAGCTATTTTCAAGTTACAGTAACATGTAGAAATCCATCTATGGGTTTCAGGCACTTTTTTCTATGCTGACTGAGATTAAAAATGGGTTCATATTCTGGTTTGAAATTTCTCTGGCTGTTAGCCTATAATATGAGTTAAGACCTTTTAAAGTTTCAAAATGTGTGTTAAAAAAATCAAGGTCTGTAGCATGAACCAGGATAAGCAGTGATGTGTTCCTCAGAGTGATTTCTTCTTTTTTTTTTTTTTAAATGAGACTTTTGCTAGAAACTGTTGATCCATAATATGTAAATCAAGTGTGCCTGTCACCATAGTTATCTAAATGTCAGTTTGCTTACTGTTGTTAAATATTCATTCAATGTGTTCATTGTAACAGCTCCAGAAGGACCCACTGGGGATATAAATACGTTTTTCAGACTTTTAGCTAAATCTTTGAGCTATTCATAATATTGGGGGTGAAAAAGCTTCCAGTCTCTTTGCATAGACTTTGCCAACAGACTGGGCACGTTAGCAATGTATCAGGAGCCCCAGAGCTTCAGGACTGAATGAACTAAAACAGCCCACGCTTGGGGATGTGCAACCTTTAGAAGCTAAAAGCCCCATTATGACTTCTTTGATGTGATTTGAACAGCAAGGTTACATTGATCTATTTGGCCTGTTGTTTCCAAGGGCTACAATTTTGTATTCAAGGTGATTATATAATCCTGAGCTACATGAGAACCTCTGCTGTGCTCTGGGCCTCTCAGTGCTCAGTTTAAAGAATCCTGCATTTTACTGTTGGTTTGTCTCCTTCATCCTTCTGTGCCTGTGCTTGCCCCAGTTCCAGGGGTAAATAAGCCTTACTTGCCTCATTACAGGGTTCTGAGATACAAGGCTTGAATTACAAAAGACATTGTTTCTTAAAGCAGACTTTTCTCTAAACCAAAATACAGTTGCATACAGGATCAAATCACTTCCCCTCAGACCTGCAAACCTAGCCATCCAAAAATCAGATGTGGGTAATTCCTCACTTCTTGCAAGGTCCAATCTCATCATAAATACCTTTTTCTTTCCTCAAGAGTGAGAAAAGCCTTGAGCGTTCCTCTGGATAGATGGAAAAGAGATAATACAGTTCTTAAGATGTTCGTTCTAGTGTTCTGCGGATCTGTTTCCAGTGCAAAGGGAGCCCTATCTTAGGCTCTCTTTATAGCTTGAGAAGAGAGTGCGCCTTCTGGCAATTGTAATTCAAGCCACCTATGACCTCCTGCATATGAAAACCTGCAAGTTTGAGCTCCTAGGCACCCAGAACAGTAATGTTGTTGTAATGTCAGGACATGCACATAGAGCTGGAAAAGATCCCCTTGAAACTAGTGCCTTGTGCTTGCAAGCATATCATCATAGAATCCCTTTGTCTTAATTTGTTAAATTTGTTTCCCAGTAATTCGTGTTGGGAGGCAGTTTCAGCACCTTGTTCCTTGATTAGAAATCTTGAACTTTCCAACCTGCATTTAGAATCATAGAATCATTATGGTTGGAAGAGACCTCAAAGATCATCAAGTCCAACCGTTTACCTGATGCCACCATGTCTACTAAACCATGTCTTGTCAGTTTATACCCGTTTATCATGATGTTAACCTTACTTTGGAACACAGCTGTTTTTCCATACTTGCCTGTGTATTTTGCTGCCTCGTGAGGAGGGCACTCTGTTCCTTTGATCAACCTACTAGCCTTTCTCTAAACTTGTTCAAGTATGAGTTCATCCCCTTTGAACGTGGGATCAGCATAAATACGCACAGTGTTTGAGACAAGGACTGACAAGCACCTTATGCAGAGCGTTACTGTGTTTCCTATCTCTGCTGGAAGTGCATTTCTGGGTATGTTGTAGGACCACACTCTGCAGTGTTTTGTGTTGATAGCTCATCGTCTTGTGATCTGATAGTGTACCATGGTATCACAGCGTCTCGTTTGCAGCTGAGGAACTTTCAACTTGCCGTGAAAATAAATCCCTGAATCCCTGAATGACCTTATGGCTTGCATTGTTGAATTTCATCTTTAATTATTATCTGGTCCTTGTTTTTATCAAGTTCTTTGTGCACAGTCTGATACTCCTCTGTGTTCACGTATCTTACCTTTCTGCCGTTAGCAGATTCATTAGCAAGTGACTGTTTCTTGTGCCCAGGTCACTCACAAAAAAGAAAGCTGTTCCCTAAACTAACACCTAAGGAATTCGAGTAGTAACTTCTTCCCAGACTAATAATTTCTCCAATTGTTTCTCCTTTGCCAGATCTTTGATGTACTTTAAATTTCTATATTGGTTCCCACCTATCTGCTTCACTCCTAATTTTTCATACAGAACTGTATTAAATGCTTTACTGCAGTCCTCCTAGACTAGCTCCATCATGTTTTTGTTTTGTTTTGTTTTTCTCTGAGCTAATTTATCTGAAATTATATCAGACTTATCTGGCAGGATGTGCAGGTAAATGCGTGCTGCATTTTTCCCACTTATCTTTCCCCCTGCACTTCAGTATTTCTCATAAAGCCTTTCTGAATGGGAAGGCTGAGAATGGCCCTCGCAGACAGCTCAGGCTCAGTCATCAGTATCAGTGTGGCTCAGACATGATAGAGGTTTGACAGCTCTTAAACTAAGTGCTTCAAATGGTACATGGGGAATGAGCAGGAGGCACATTGTGCAATTAGCTGATCAGCTGACTTCTTGTAATTGACTTCTTGTAAAGTCTAAGGCAGATGATGTCCAGTGTTAAGGTGTCAAAAGTACAGCTGGTCGTAACAAGGAGCGTATCCTAGAGAACTGGTGTTCTGCTGCAGGTATGGAAAGTACATTTCTGCTCCCTGCTGTGTTGTGATTTCTCTAGCACAAGCTATCATTCCTTCTGCTTCTTGATTTTTATAAAGCTGCTCTTTCTACCTCTCTTTCCTACCATTTTGGTCATGCAATAATTGTCACATTACTGTCTTTTGTGTTACTTCTGCAAGAAAGGCTGTTGTTGGGATGGAAGAATGGAATTGATGTGGACCTTTTGGAACTGAAACTCCAAAATTGCTGAAACTGAGCAAGGTTTTTGCTGGCCATGTTTCTTTCCAAACTGAGAATGGTGTGAATGTTAGCTGCGTTGGTTGTAAGAATTAATTGGATATCAGTGAGAATATCTTGAGCTCCCTAGGTTGGGAATGTTGATGAGTGCTGAAACAGGCTGATCTCCCTTGGCGGGGAGGAGGCAGGCCAGACAGAGAACGGTATCACTTTGCTGGGTACCGCAACCTATGCTTAGAGCAGGAAAAATGATCTCTGAGGTACCAGTCTTCAAAACAAAATCTTTGCTGGGTGGTCCTGAAGGAGGGGGAGGTCAGGTGACCCTGCACATAGGATCATCCTATCCCAGATCTGTGAGTCCGTGACTTGGTTCTCTGTATAGTTATCTCTTGTATTTGTGGAGGGTAAACGTGTCTTATCTGCTTTGTTCCAGTTATAAGCTCTGCAGAGCTGCCTTTGGATGCTGATGTGCAAACTAGCAACCTGCTGATAACCTTCTTGAAGTACAGCTCGATTGTGATGCAGGACACAAAAGGTAAATAAATTCTGTTGATGCTGCTGTGGATGCAGCAAACAGTGCTTCTTGAAGTTAGGAGGGCATAAGAACATGTCTATTGACTCCAGAAATAGAAGTTAACTGAGAGTCCCCTTAGAGGACTGAAGATTCCACCTTTGGAAAAAATGAAATGCTTTCTTATTGCAAGATAAGAGTTATGAAACTAGGAGAGACCTAATGCTGGCAGAAGAGAAGTCAAATATGGAAAGAATGTAATAATAAGAATAGTACCTAATAACTGAGCCTGTCCCTATGCAGGACATGTGAACATGTCTGATTCCCAACTGTCTGTCAGAGAGGGGAAGTCGTGTACCAGAGCGTTTAGAAACTGACACAGGAGGCAAAGCTGAGTATTAGGAGGAAATATTTCCTTTGGTACTTGCTGGTTAAACATGCAGCTCTTCAATTATAAAGGGGACAGCAGTAACTTACTCTGACCTGGCAGTAATTTGCTTGAGAAGATATATTTCCATATTGTGCTTTTTGTTTCTCCTGATGGTTTTGTGGGGGTTGGTTTCAGCTTGCTGGAGTTGAAGTATTGCTTCATCTCCTGCTCACGGTACCCAAGGGTGCTGTTTTGCCTAGTGGTTGTATGGGCAGGACCATAGTGTGAACACAACAAGTGATCTTTGTACCGTATTTCAGCTTATTACCGACTTTTGCTGTTAAGTTAGATGTAACAACGGAACCAAAATAAGAAGATGACTGCAGAGCTATGATACATTGATTATTGAACTTCATGAATGCTTCGTACTGAATAAGAGAGCAAGCAACAGAGTTTCCATGTACCTACTAGCTTGCTGTGAAATTGTACCTGGCTGTATTGTTCTTATTCAGTATCAAGCTAGTTGAGGAAAAAGTGAATAATTGAAATTAGAACCAAAGGAACTTCATGAAAATATCTAGTGCACTCTTCAAAACCAAGACGGAATCAGGTTTACCTGTATCTTTTCTCAGAGATGTTGCTAACAGGCTGGATGAAGACATTCTGACAGTGAGGCATCACTTTTAGACTATCCATTCCAGTGTTTTAACTACCCTTATTGTGAGAATGCTTCATGTGCCTCCTAAATTCTTTGCTGTGATTTAAATTAATTGCTAGTTATCTTCTCCAAGATAGATCCTGGGAATGGATTATTTTTTTCTTGTTTGTGTCAGCCCTTATGTATTTGAAGTCTGCTTTCATGTTTCCTCTTGCTTTTGTCTCTAAGCTAAACCACGTCAATCTTTGCTCAGTCATTTCTTATAGATTGCACACATGAGGAGAGCTTTCCAGCACTCTAATGATTCTCATTTGCTTTTCTCAGGGTCTGTCTTGCTGATCTAAGTCTCTGGTGGAACAATTTTATGTTTTTCAATTTAACTCTGCACTTAGTAGTCACTGTAATATAGAAAGTCTGCACAGGGCCTCCGGAACTGCCAAACTAGATTAGTTTCAGATGGAGTGAAATCTGATAGAGGGGATTCTTTACTAAACAAGCCAGTGAGAGATGAGTTTATTCTGGTATGAGACAGGAGTTAATATTCTGTGGGTTTGTTGTTTTTTGTTTGTTTTTTTTTTTTCCCTTTACTTTGGTTGTAGCTTGTATAACATTTGAAATTTGTGTGGCTGATAGACTTAACTCCTTGCCACCATGTGTCAATGAGCTCTGCTGGCTGATTGCGTGCCTTCCAAACTACTGCTTATTAATTCTAGTGGGTGTATTCCTGTCATATTTTGATGATAGATGGGACCCCACCTAACTTTTTTTCTTCTTGTGTAAAACCAGGCATGGAACAGGCTGCCCAGGGAAGTAGTAGAGTCACCATCCCTGGAGGTATTTAAAAGACGTGTAGATGTGGCACTTAGGGACATGCTTTAGTGGTGGACTTGGCAGTGCTAGGTTAACAGTTGGACTCGATCTTAAAAGTCTTTTCCAACCTAAATGACGTTCTGATTCCATGTGACACCAATAGAGCAAGAAGAGAGGAAGAATAAATAGCTCTAATTTACTCCATGTGTCTTGAGACAGGTGGGAACACTTAGAGGAGAGACTGGTTTGTTCCACATCCAGGACTAGACAGTTGTTTTCGTCCTGTCCCAGAGAGCATAATTTAATAGACTATGTTTGCTAGATCCTCCTCTTGTTTCCTCTCTTGTGTCAGTCACAGACAGCTGCCTTAGGAGAAACAAAAACTCTGCATCATTTTTTCCCATCTGTCAAATAGGGTTCATCCTGATGTACCTCCCCATAGGAAGTGGTCTGCTTTCTTCCTTCAAGATGCTATGAAAGTATGCAGTGTCTGTGCAAGTAACTGCCTGCATGGCTGCCCATAACTGCTGAAAATGGCGTGATGTTCACAACAGATTGGCTGAAGGCAGAGTACTTGGTGTGAAACAGGAGCCTTTACAGCACGATCCCCAGAGAGAAGTGGTAGCAGCACCTGCAAAAATACGAGGAGGGCTTACAATAGGAAAATAACAAGGCTCTGGTGTATCAGAGTTCTTTGAGGCCATTTCTCCTGCTTTGCTGGAGTAGAAAACTTTTCACTTAAACATTTTAGCCTGGGTGAGGAGACATGGGAGAGACTCTTAACTCTCCCGTTCCAAAATTCCTCTTCATCTTATTAGTGCAGCAAGACGAAATCAGCACACTTCAGGGCACATCTTGTTAGTAAGTATCTGTCCCTCAGCAGTATAGAAAAGAAAACAAGAGAGGCATCAAACTAGACACAACTAGTTAAGCCCATTCTACCTATTTTTATAGATTACCATATACACACTAACTAGCAAAGTGTTTGTAAAAGTGACCTGCAAAGATGCAAGGAATTTGGCTGATGCTGTCTTCTGATTTATATGAAGGTCGTCCAACTGTTTCAGATTTTCCTCTCCTCCAAGTTCAACTCTAAGGCAGATGTCTGGGATGGCGTATTTAGTAGTCTTATGCTTTAGAGAAGCTGTTGGAGGTCTCAGGAATGTGCAATTTTAAGCTTCCTCAGAATTTAGTTATAAGTATGTTGTTGTGATTGTTTTATGTTTGTTTTTGTGATTTTGGGCGTGTGTGGTGTTGAGTGGTTTGGTTTGTAGAGCAAAGATTTTTAAATGAGCTTGATCGGACAGTGCCTTGAACAGCCTGATCTTAGCTGACTTGGCTTTGAGCAAGGATTGGACCAGAGGTTTCTTCCATCCTAAGTTACTCTGTGATTGTATGTATCTTGGCTTTGTTTGGTATTTCAAGGTTAAAATTGAGACAGAAGAGTTTTAATTAATCCAAATAAAAATTGTATTCTTCCGCCTTAGTCCCTGTTTGTGAGTCTTTCAGCTCTCCAGTTGTCATTCAGGGCAAAAGCTGCTTGAAGCTGTAAGATGAATAACAAGTTGTGGAATACGATGAGGGTGGAACTCCTTTGGCTTAAAATGCTAAGTCTTTGCAGACTTCCTTCTTTCATGGTTTTGCACAAAGCAAAGTAGATCATGTGTCTCAGTATTGGGGTTAAAACTCAGGACTTTGAGCATTATGTCAGGAGTCATTTTGCTACACTGTGCTGTGCCTCGACCAAAGCTTTGCTGCTTGTTTCATAACCTACAGCAAATGTGATCTTTTTCTTTCCATCTTATCTGAGGGGGAAAATTGTGTCTCTGCTGTGACAGAAAGACAGGGACAAACCCCAGTATTTAGAGTATCTGTGGAAGTAAAACTGAGAGAGACAGAAGCCTTACTGATAGTTACAGTGTTGTTGGAGGTTCACATCAGAAATTTTGCCGTTAGTGCAGCCTGATGACAAATTGGTGGGATTTAATGATCAGGCTAGAGGGTGAGTGCTTAAAGAGAATAGTTAAACTATGAGATATCATGAAGTAGGAGTACAAAACCTCTCCAGGGCTGGACTTTTCTCTTGCTGCAACAGCTGTCTCGCTCTTCAGCATTGCTAGGCTTGTGTGGCTCATGGAGGACTTGTTTTTTTCTTCTTTACAGATGAGCACCGGCTACACAGTGGCAAGCTGTGTCTCATTATCCTGACATGCATAGCAGAGGTAGGTTTCTTGTGTGAAACTGTTCAGCAGATGGTGTGTTACAGGGGCTATCTGCATACGCATCCCTTGCCTCCTGTTGAGCAGGAGCTGAAGATCTGCAGTGGTACTGAATAGTGAGGACCTCAGGCACTTAACATTTTGCTAATAAACCTGGTGCAGTACTGTTAAAATTGGCTTGAAACTTGAAAATTGGATCATCTTATTTGGGATACCCAACTCCCAGGGATGAAGAGAGAAAAGAGTGAACCTAAGCCTTTTCTCTCTTAGCTGTTGAGTCACTCTGTGGTGTGGCTTTTAGATGTAACATGCTAATGGCTTTCAGCTCTGTGCTGTTCATGGTAAACATGGGCAATGCCATATCCCTTCTGCCTAAGAAGGATATGAGTCTGAAAGAAAGCCTCATGGTTGTAGGTCCCTACAAGCAAGACAAGTAGCAAATCTGGTAGTAGGGTGAGAAAGCAATATCACAGAGCTATGTCAGCAGTCCTGGCTGAATGTGGTTCTGTCTCATGGGAATTATGTACTAATGGCTTGACTGATGTCCTGAATCATGATTGAGTTTGCGTGGCATTTGCATTTTGCTTGCTTGCAAGTAAAGACTTTTCATTCTCAACAAAGAATAAAAAGCAGCTATGTTGATAGCCAGTGTAAGGATTCTGAAGTAGTGTTTCTTCAGAGTGCAGCCTGAAAGCTAGTCATCTGCATTTCAAATATTTACAATTAAATGGTTTTGGCGCTTGAGTTCTTCAGGTAGATGTATAGATAATGCAAGATAAGAAATTCTGTTTCTACATAGCGATGGCATGTTTTGGTTCTGGTACTAAAGGGAGGGTATATTTATTACCCAATCTGGCTGTACATTATCTGGAGGAATCACTTTGATTTAAAGCTGGTCTTGGAATGAGCTTCGCTGGAGGGGTGGGACAGCTGGTATCCCTACCTGCTAGTGCTGCAGTAACTTCTGGCACGATGGGTCCATCAAAATGCCGATATAAACCTTCGTCCACACAGTCACAGGAACTTGCATACTGGAGAACCACCTCATGCATTATACAGCACTTAAACTCTTGACACTGTGATGTGTGCAGTCCAGAGTTTGGATGAGCAAGGAGGAGAATGGAAAATAAATTGCTAACAAAACAAGCAGTAGTGCAGGCTTTAACTAAAATGAAATTGGGATCAGGAGGGGTTTACTTTTGTGCGACTGGAGACATGGGTAGGGACTAGAGGAGGTGACAAGTGGCTTTCTAACCTTATAGCTATATGTTGGGAGTTTTACACTGAAATGCACGTGATTTGAGAGGTTAAGTAGAAGGCGTTGGGCACTTGGTTGGCTATTCATATCTCCTCCCTTTTCCTGCTCTTTGCAATAGGATCAATATGCTAACGCTTTTCTCCATGATGACAACATGAATTTTCGAGTAAACCTACACAGGATGGTGAGTCTTTTCCTCCAGATGGTCTGTTTTCTCTTTGAGATGAGAACACAGAGGATTTGAGTTCCTGTGTGTTAAAACTGTGTCACAGACGTCTAACCTAGATTGCTAAGGCATGTGAAAATACTGTGAGAAATGCAGTAGTTGGGGAATGATTTTGAAATCGCTCTCAGAATGTCTCACTCTTTCAAAGAACAAAGAGCTGGTTGCCCTGTTGGTGAATTTGGAGGCCTGTGTAGGTGGGGAGGAGCTGTGTGTTATGAGGTCTCTGAGGAAATCAGTGGCAGAGAGAAGGTTCTGCCTTAATCTTCAGCAAGCACTAGCCCTCATGTGATATATTGATAACCAGCTAGAGTTACACCGAGTGCTCTAATTTGGCTAATGCTTCATCCTGGGTGGGGAGATTCACCTTCAAAGAGGAAAGTATTTTTTCCAGTGCTTTTTCCTATAGGTATTTGTGGAGGAAGTGTTCTTACCTGCTTCATGAAGCTCTGTAGTTACAAGTAGCTTGAATGATTATCCTAACTTGATGCATTCTGTCTTTCTGTACTGACAAGTTCCACCTCATCTGACAGTGGAGCAGCACTTGAAAGTGTCATTAATCCAGGACAGAAACAAACATCTTACTTTATAGTGAGCATACTGCAAAGATGCTAGTCACTCCCACTTAACAACAAACTTGCCATTCAATTAGCTTTTCTGGTCTGTTACAATAAAGACCAAAGTCATTTAATACTGCGCAGGCTTTTAAGAATGCAGATCAGACTTCTCGGTCATGAGCAAATCAGTATGTTAACCAAGGGGGAGGAATTGCTGTATGATTTCCTGCCCCCTCCCCATGATATAACAGTACCCCTCAGGTACACACCTATAGGAACAAAACCCCAGTGATCAGCATACTGAAAAGCGGGCATAATTTTGCTCCAGCGATGGCCTTTAGAATTAATATAGGTGAGATAGCATTTGGAGTAAAAGACAAAGCAAAGCCTGTGCTGATGGTACTATTTGCATGAAAAATACAGTAATACGCAGAATGTCACTTCAGGCTTCTGCTGACTTCTTTTCATCTTTGTGTGTTTGAAGCCAATGAGACATAGGAAGAAAGCAGCAGACAAGAACCTGCCCTGTCGCCCGCTGGTGTGTGCGGTGCTTGGTGAGTATTGCTAGAGTACGTGTGTGCTTGTGGTTCCTGAAGCATCTTTTGTTCTGCAATAGAAATATGAGATTTGTGGATTAAGGGGAGGGGTGGATGCACTTAAAAGCAGGGCAGTTATGTACTAAAGATATTTCCAGCAGTGGACTGTCCATCTCTATACACAACTGCCTCACAGAGAAATTAAATTCAAGATTGCTGCTCTGTAGCAAGAAATCGTATATACGTTTATATTAAGTTTTGCAGACACCTGTTGGCCCCTTTCACCTGAATTAGTAACAACAGGGAGGGCAGTTGATTTAGTGTTTTAGGTGAGGGTGGTAACAGTTAGTCACAAGTACTTTGTAGGTGGTATGATGAGCCTATAGAAAGGACATATGTTTGTGAGTGTGTTTGCTGGGCATTTAGCCTTTTCTGAGCAAAAAACGAATAGGAATGTCAGTAGCTAGAATTGGTCTTGCCTGTGAATATGAAGGCACAGTTGAAATCTTTCCATGCAGCATATGATTAAATTCTGATACTCTTTGCTGTGGAGGCCAAAAGCATACATGGGGGCAGAAATGGATAGAGCCTGGGTACCTGAATGACTCTTAAGCCTGATGATATGGAAGCAGTCTGACTCCAGCATTTTCAAACAGATGATTGTTGAAGCCAAGACACAACAGCTGCATGAAGAATCCTTCTAGACTTATGAGATTCCATGCACTCTTTTTCTAGAATGTTTTTAGTCACTATTGAGTCATATTGATGGACTATTAGTGCCCTAGGAGGTTACATCTCACAGTTGTTACCACTGGCATGGGTTAAGGATTTTGCGCTGAAGTTGTGTTGGGCAGAGAACACACACACATTCAGCTAACATTTATTAGCTGAGCAGTAACTTATCTCTTTCAATTGTATTTCTATAC